CAGGAGGAGCTGCCGCTGCCCCTGGAGCACTTCCTGCAGAGGATGGCCCGGAGACCCCGGCCCCAGCAGTTCTTCGGCCTCATGGGCAAGCGGGATGCCGGTGAGCGGGGCGGGGGCTCGGTCCCTCTCACGCCCCTCTGGGGTCCCCTTCTCCCAGCGCTGCGCAGCCCTTTACAGCGGTTGTCACTCGCTTTCCATGCGTTAAATCCTTCTCAAAAGTTGCGATGTGGGTTGTTTGGTCCTGGGTTGTTTGGTCTTTTTGTTTGTTTGTTTGTTTCCCCCCAAAGTTTAATATCAGATAAACTCGCGGATTGTTAAAGAGGTAAAAATAAATACTGCATTGAAGTGCTAAGTGCACACCAATTACAGCATGTAAATACCAGTAAGGAGGATCACGATTAAGTCACACGTGCCATTGAATTGCCCAAGTGTGGAAATTTGTTGTGTAGGCAATTATTGCCGTGTTTTCTACATGTTTACTGATCCAAGAATTGATCTAAGCAACTTGGAGCTAAACAGATCTAAATCGTGTGGGTTTAGCTGAAACAAGATTTTGTAGTCTATTCAAAAAGAAATGCAGTTGTAAACGATTGCCTGAATTTCCCTTGAGCTGAATATGCGTAGGGTAGCCTCTGTATTTGATTCTTCAAAGCATTGCAGTAGCATCATATGTATTTGCCAATCCTTTTTGAACAACTTTTTCCTTTTTTTCTCTTTCTTTTCCTCTTCCAATCAGGATATGGCCAGATCTCTCACAAAAGTAAGTTTAAAAAATTCAAATATTTTAAGTAATTATTAGAAGATATTCAAATGGGGAATAGTGCATTTGAGGGAATTAGTTAGAAGGTGACTGAGTTTAGCTAAGGACTGGCAGCACTGGCGGTGGAGGAATATCCTGTTAAAGGATTGAACTCCCCCCCTCAGTGAAGCCTTGAGCCTGTACCTCATCTGAGCAGCCACAAGCTTTGAGAATTCAATTGACATTAATGTGTGGATGTTGCAGCTCTCTCTTATTTCCCAGGGGGGCGATTCTGTAAGCCGTTCTCACAGGCAAGGCAAGCTTACTGCCAGGCTGAGAGAGGAGCAATTAAGATGGCAAAATCTCGAAAATTCGAATAGTGAATTCCCAAATCCCTGAGAATGATTCCACGGGAGAGCCCATGTCATCGCATGTGAGATACTGTATCTGTGCTCTCAGCATTTTCAGGGTGGGAATCAGACCCCTGCTCACAGCAGGGGCCAGTCTATGATCTACTTCCATATAAACAAGTATATCTTGCCCCATTAATAATTGCTTTGCTTCTGGGTAACGCCGAGCAGGAGATGGTTATCAGCAGTGTGGCATTACGCTGTTCTGCACAGTGATAGTTTTATTATCTGAATTTATCTGAAGATGCTTAGACTAGAGCCAGAAGACTTTTAGTAAGTAAAAATGATCTTATAATCTGTGAGACCTCCTCTGCCCACAGAAGTCAATAACTGTCACGGTGTTGTGTTAGCCGCAAGATTTTATCACTAGGATTATGTATTGGAAGGCCAATTAAAGAGTCCAATACAAAGCTCATGTCAAATAATCTGCTTACTAAAGTAAAAAATTACAGCTTTCTGAAACTGCTTCAGCTTGAATTAATACCTGCGAGGTCTGAGGATCTTGGTTTGTAGATGCATTAGCCAAGCAAAATTCTTTCCAAGGAGAAATTTCCAAGCTTGCTTCAAAAGTCAGCTTGGAGAAAGAATGGTTCCTTTTTGGCCCTTATCTGAAACTATAGCTACCATTATATCTGATATGTGCTGTAGGCCAAAACTTGGAGTAATTTATCCTCTACACCTCCAGTGCCTTGGAGTATTAATGGGACAGGAAGGTAATATCTGAACTCATAAATATTCCAAAAATAGGACCAGACTGTCTAGCTCAGACGTGTCCAGACAGAGTCCCATTGGCTTCCTCTCCATTAAGGGCTCTGCCTGACCCAAAAGGAAGACTTTTTCCATGTTACAGAAAAAACCACCATCAGGTAGAACAGGTGCATCATACAGGTGCAGGCTATGCCAAGATACTGCCGCCTTGTGCATTTGCTCAAATCAACAGAAATTGTACTGGGAGAGGAAGAAGAATCAGTTTTGGGCCATTGTTTTTCCATTATTCTTAAACTCAAAGACCAAAAAGTATCTCTGAGTTAATTAGAAGATGCCTGCTAACTGGCCTGTGCCTTGGTCTAACCTGTTTAGTCTGATTAGTCAGACTGATGTTTGTTCTCCATTGTTTGAGAGTGCTGTGAACAACTGGTATGCGAGATGAACAGTTTTGGAGCCGGTGTCTTCCTTCCTCATGAGAACATGTTATAAAAGCCTGCCTATATTTTTTTTTTTCAGGGCATAAAACAGACTCTTTTGTTGGACTTATGGGCAAAAGATCTTTAGATTCTGGTATGTATATGACTAAATCTGGTACTTGGTGATGTATAGTCTCTTCATTCCGTTGCCTCTTTGTTCTCTCCCAGCGGATGGAAGCAGCAGCCTTTATGTCGTGTAGACCTAGAGTTCTCTGAAAAAGGACCAGGATTCTCTTTCTCAGCCAAGATATTTCAGGGTCCGCTTAACTCTCATGCTTGAGATGATCAGGCTGGTCTGAGCTGCCATAGTGCAGGCAAGGTCAGGTAGAAGTCCCCAGAGAACTTTCCTTACTGCCCCATCCTTGCCAGCAGCATGCTCCGCTGGTCCCCAAAGTGCTATTACAAGGGAAAAAAAAGTGAAATTTTACTGACAAATCAGGAAAAAAGCAGAGGCTGAAAATGTAAAGCTCATTTAAACTTCTGATCCAAACCTCCCTGGATAAAGGGATACCCTCATTGTCTCTGCAAGACCACTATTCCTCAAACTTGAGCAGGAGGTGAAAGAGCAGAGATCGGCCATTAACACCACCTCATTCTGCAGGTCAAGCTGTTAAACATTCCCAGCCTCCTCCAGCTTTTCATTTTACCTAAAACATTTTTTGCCTTTTTTTTTAGGATTTTAACCGATGCTGTGAATTTTTTGTTATTTTCCCATAGCATCCATATAGGGCAGAATCCTCCTCCCTCATGTGCACAACCCCTGTGGGTAACTGCAGGCTGCCAGTAGCTCTACCTTCCCTGTGCTACAGGGCTCTAATGAGGAAATCCCTCAATGTGAACAATAAAGTGTCAGTTAATTCCCCAGAATAGGAATTAAAAAAAAAACAAAAACCCTAATGCGTATTTCATGCCTCTGAAATAGTTCTCGCTGTTTTGTTAAATGGATGATAAAAGTCAAATTACTAGCTGACACCTTTATATTATGTGAATACACGCTGTGATCTATATTCTGCAATTATGGTTGTCAGTAACTTTTATTTTCAATTAAACCCTGTTCAGACTAGTAATATTGCTCTCTGCATCATTTTGCAAATTGCTATGTATCATGAATAATTTTGCACCATTTTATCTGTGGTGGCAATAGCTATTAAATGCATAATACCTGTAAATATATCTGCTATCACAAAAGTAAATAGCCTGGAAGTAATAAATTTGGTTTCGTTTCCATTGGGATTACATTTACATTAATATGAGAATGCAAAATACAGCAAATATTTAAAAAAGGCAAAGATTTGATTGCCCTAATTTCAAAATTGCTGGTATAGTTATGTAAAGGTACTGTTATGTGGTATTTGTAACCAAGGCAAATAATGAATTTTTACCCTGTCGGGCTATGTAATACCCGCCTGACAGGTAAAACTAGAACTCACTGCTTTTCTGCCTGATTCCCTGAGAGGAAAATGGTAAATAGTTGCTTCTGCTCCTCTGGAGGAGAAGATGGGGCCTATGGACTGTGTCATCAAAGCAAGGTCAGGAGCATGTGCTAGGCTTGTCTTTACTTCTCCCTACTCAAAGACGTTCAACCAGGCAGGACCTTTTCTTGGTGCGGTGCCTTGGTGCCATGGTTTTCTTCTTCTGCAGCAAGCCCCTGAGTCCCCCGGTAGTGTGCAGGAGTTGACACCAGTGCTGAGTTAAAGCCTCGTGTGACAAAGCAGAGTGCCAGCAGCCTGGGGTCTCCATCCCTGGTTTGGTAAAATGGGGTCTGACACTGGGTGTCTCGCAGGCTGTGTGGTCTGTCGGATGAACGCTCCAGGTAGAAGCTGGGAAACAGTCACACATACAGTAAAGATACTACAATAACCCATATTAAGAAAGAAAGCTCAACTCATTTTGTATTTAGCCCAGTGAAAATTGAAGTCTTATTCATAAAAATCTTCACTGATCCAAAATGCCAGCTCCCTGCAGGATGCCCCCAGACTAGCTGTGCCTTGCATGCAATAGTCGGGCACGCATACGCTCCGTGAAAGCAATCCTCCCATTGGGGTCGAAGAGAAGATGACTTTGGTGACCAGCTACGTCACCCTATGGTCAGCCTCTGCCCAAGAAGGGCTCTCTGGGTTTCCCTCTCATTTTAAAAGAGCAAGAAGAAGAAATCTACCACTACTAGATGCTAAATATGTTATTGAAGACTATTTTAGGCTGTGGTTGGTCCACAGGGCAGTCTGAGGTTTGCTTAGCTCCTGCTGCAGATTTTAGTAAAAGCTATCGCTGTGTGCATGGCTTGGGGACAGGGAGGGTTTAAACCTGGCGAAGAGCTGACTGCGCAGGACAGAAGGTGGCAATGTCCATGCAGAAAGTCTCTACCCACACACTGATCTGAGAGCTCAGATCCCATCAGTGAGATGGATTACTGGAACAGAAAACGGCTTTGAGTGAACGGTCCTTCGAGCCGCTCGAGAGACGGGAGGTAGAGAGCACTGCACAGACCTTCAGCCTCCTGGAGAATTGTGTAGTCTGAGGGGTAAAACCAAATCAAAGCAGCTCGGGGCTGTGCCAGGATCCCTCATCTCGGGTCTCAAACGCCCCGACGGGGTCCGGCAGTGACCCAGCAGACTGCAGGTCTCTGACGTTTCCGTGTGCTTGCCGGGGTTTACGCGAGGCTGCACCATGTGCTTCATTCTGCTTCGTTTTTTGCAGGATCCTCTGAAAGGAGCATAGCACAGAATTATGAACGGAGGCGTAAATGAGACATTCCCGTGCATTATTTATTAAACTTCATTTGTTCCAATGGCCAACGCAGTGTAATATAAACTAACCACTGTACGGAATAATTATTTATTTAATAATAACCAACGGGTTGGGGTTTTTTTGAGTTGTACATTCAATAAAATGATTATTTTTCATATTGTGGCAATGATACGTGTTGTGTAGGTATGTTGTGGTTCTGAAAGGACCAGCAACCCTGGTGACGTCTCACAACAAAGCACATCGTTTGATATGACCTGTAAAGTTATGTTCACTAGGCAATGAAAATCTTTTGTTCATTGAAAGCGAGTCTATCAGCTTCACAGACAATGCAGAACAGAGCTGATGTACAGTCTAGTGCCTCAATTTGTTTTCATGGTTTATAATGTACTGTAATTTCTGTATCGAAAAATATATTTGTATCATTGCAGCATGTTTTATGTTTTGTGACTACGTATCTATATATTTTAAACAGGTGGGGTGGGTAAGGTTTGAATGGGAATTTGAGGTCTTAATTTCATAGTCTGGAATTTTCTGATAGTAACATTTTAAATAAAAAGTACTCTGGGGATTTTGCAACATACTTTCTTTGATGATAGTGATGGAGTTATTTCCTGCGTTGGTCCAGAAGGAGACTCGGATCCAAGCAGCAGTTGTCTGGGGCCAGAAAGAAATATCAGATTAATGACTTCTGCAGGGAGGCTGTGAGCCTCCTACTGCGGGTTTGGTGAATGTTTGGGGGATTTGCTACTGGACACAGGAGTTCCTGGGATTGCTCTGGGTCACACAAGGTGCCATCCATGCTAAACCCAATGGAAATCAAGACGTGTGTTGACTGAATGAGACGGGCCCAATGTATCCCCCAGCTCCAAGTGGAATAATTTGCTGTGGAATTCATCCGCTGTTGCAGGTTTATTATTTGATATTATTTGAAAGCCAAGCATTTCATAAAGTCTAGCCCTCAGATTCACAATAAAAGCACCTGTTGGCTTCAATCCATGCAATGTAAGAGAAAAAAATGTGAGTGTAATTATCTTTTTAATTAAATTGGCTGGTTACTTTATTTCCAGGGCAGTCCCAAAATGCTACATACATCTCGCCAGATGCCAAAGCATCTGGGGGGGTCTATATTCTTTCCACCAGTTAAAAGCTACAGTTCTCTGATGCTATCGTACAAGCCTTCATCACAGATGAATCAGCAGTGAAAACAGTCAGCTTATACAAATCAAATTTAAAAATAAGTAATACAGAGTGATTAACTGGTTGCTGGTTTACATTTTGGAAGCGAACTCGGCAACCTCCATTTTCAAGTTTATCATCTGAGCCGTCCCCACAACTGCACCCACTAAGAGCGGGTGGGCGTAGGACCTTCTTCCTGCTAGGTTAGGAGCAGCACCTAAGCCTGCCCAGGCTTAAAACAGACCTGGCTCCTAGCTAAGTAGGAGCTGGCCCCAGCGAGGTGAGGGGCTACACGGTGGGAAATCGGAGGCAGGCTTGCAACAGGGACCACGCGCGTGTGAGACACGGTGGTTGTACTGGCGCTCTGCCAGCTCTTCGTCTTGCCGGGGCTAATTTTCAGACTAATAAGCTTCTGTGTCAGCTCCCACTGAGCTCGGTGAGGGGGGAAGCTGACTGCTGGGCTAACAGCGTTAGCAAAAGGACTGCAGAAATGCGTGTTGAATAACGCTCGCTGAAGGGTAAAAAGAAAGAAAAAGCTTTAAAATGCTGTTCCCCAAGCCTGGGAGCCCACGGTGCTCCCAGACCTCACAGCCCATGTGCGCTGAATTGTGAAACACAGAGAGGAAATAAAAAGCCCTGCTGCTCACTCCCTGCAGCCTGTGCATCTCACAAGCCTTCCCTCAGAAGCAACCACTGCTTCCAGAGAAAGCCACACAGGACAGAGTGGGCTTCAAGTGTTTGGAGGACAGCACAGATACTAGTTAACAGCATCCAGCAAAGGGCTGGGACTGAATTTTCTGGCAAAACCATAGAATCATAGAATGATTTGTGTTGGAAGGTACCTTTAAAGGTCATATAGTCCAATCCCCTGCCATGGGCAGGGAAATCTTCAACTAGATCAGGTTTTTCAAAGCCCCATCCAACCTGACGAGGAATGTTTCCGGGGATGGGGCATCCACAGTGTCTCTGCACAACCTGTTCCAGGGTCTCACCAGCCTCATTGTAAAGAATTCCTTCCTTATATCCAATCCAAATCTACCCTCTTTCAGTTCAAAACCAGTGCCCCTTGTCTTGTCTCTACAGGCCCTGCTACAAAGCCTGTCCCCATCTTTCTTATAGTTCCCCTTTAAGTACTGGAAGGCTGCAGTAAGGTCTCCCTGGAGCCTTCTCTTCTCCAGGCTGAACAACCCCAACTCTCTCAGCCTGTCCTCACAGGAGAGATGCTCCATCCCTCTGATAATTTTTGTGGCCTCCTCTGGACCTGCTCCAACAGGTCCATGTCTTCCCTGTGCTGAGGGCTCCAGAGCTGGATGCAGGACTGCAGGTGGGGTCTCACCAGAGCAGAGCAGAGGGGCAGAACCACCTCCCTCGACCTGCTGGCCACGCTGCTTTGGATGCAGCCCAGGATGTGGTTGGCCTTCTGGGCTGTGAGCACACATTGCCAGCTCATGTCCAGCTTTTCATCCACCAGTCCCCCCAAGTCCTTCTCGGCAGGGCTGCTCTTGATCCCTTCATCCCCCAGCCTGTATTGATACCGGGGGTTACCCCAACCCAGGTGCAGGACCATGCACTTGACCTTGTTGAACTTCATCAGGTTCACATGGGCCTACTCCTGAAAGCCTGTCAAGGTCCCTCTAGATGGCATCCCTTCCCTCTAGTGTATCAACTGCACTACCATCATTTTCTCTAGAAGGAAAGGCTGACTCTCCAGAGTCAAAATATTCTCCTATTACATGGCTGTCTGAAGAATGTTTTTAATTTGGGATTTGAAACAACTCATTTCAATTTCTGGTGGCAAAATAATGTCAGGTTTGCACTAATTTAGGTTTTTAACAATAAGATTAAAATTGGCATTGATTTATATGTTTGTAAAGACATAGTCCAAGCTAGAAATAAACCAAACTCACACAAAAGGCACTGCCTGAAATATTCCAACTAACTCTACCAACAACACAAAATGCTCTCATCGTATTTCAGCACAGGGGACCGTTCATCCGTGGTGGGGCTGTGGGGCCGTGCCAGCCCAGCAGGTCTGGGGCAGAAGCGGAGGTGCATGTACCAGGCACATTTGTCCTCACAGGTATGCTGGGGTCCTGGAGACTCAAACAGGAATTCTTATTCTTAGATCTTTTTTCAGCCTTTAGTAGTGAGTGGTGCAGTCTATACATTATTGAGTAACTTCAAAGGGACTTTTTAATCATTTCTGTCGTCTTTTATCTCCCTTTTGAGGCTCCTTTGGCTTTTAAACACTTTTACATGTTGGACAGCATTGCTTGCAGCCCCGGGGCACTTGTGCCTTGGATCACTGGGCAATGTCAGCCCTCCAGCTCCACTGAAGGCTTTGGAGAGGCTTCCACTAAATCCCCTGCCACCTCTGCAACAGCTAGCCATGACCGTGACACAGACTTAGCTCTTCTTTGATGGTAACAGTCTGACATCCCTCAAGCTGCGTAAGATAATCGATAATGCTGCAGCAAGGGCATCAGTCAGTGAAATGCAAGCAAGCTTTAAATAAAGTAATAAAAATCTTTCTAGGAGATCAGCACAGAGAGTAAACCCAGAGTGATGCTGGTAATTATCCCCACTGGGGAGGTGCTACAGGCAGTTTGACGCCATAGTCCCCCTCCAACATGCTCTGCTTCTCTTTTCCCTTAGAAATACATCATTCATCTGCGTCACGGCAGGCGGCTGCTCTTCTGGTGGGTCCTGTCTCACGCACACAGGCCCTCGCCTTCCCCCAGGCGGGGGGATGCTGAAGTTGGGCTGGCAGCAGCCCGCCTTGCCCAAGCGTGACCCAGAGGACCATCAGCTCCATCCATCACCTCCATCTCTCTGCCGTTGCATGGAGACTGGTCCCCCGTTGCACAGATGGAGCCAAGCTTACCCTGGGGAGCCAGGGCCACGGTCTACATAGCCCCCCGTCAACCAAGGAGCTGGGAGGGGGGTCTGGCTCCCTGTGTGCACCTCACCAGGGGAGCTTGGGCTCTGCAGCGCTTGCCCACTCGGCTGCCACGAGTGACTCTCTTGCTGTGTTCACATCAGGAGGCTGGTATTTTTTAGCATGGCCATAACCAAAAGTAAAGGAAGAATCTGGAAATTTCTAGGCATGGAGACCTTTGTGGGGGACCCAATCCCCAGCCATCGTTAGCTAGAGCAGAATAACTCCAGGAGGTTTTTTTAAATTACTAAAGTGATTCTTAAAAAAGCTGTTTATTCAGCATACACCAATAACAGCTCCTTCAGAGCTATCAAGAGCCATTATTTAAATGCAGACTTTGTCCCGGTATTTTCTTAAACTATGACTTAGATAACTCCTTTAGCATAAAGAGATACCGAGCAAGTCCCAGTGCAAACTTCAGTAATGACCAAATTTCTTTCATGGTGAGCCTGAACAGTTCCCTGAGCCATAATATCGCAGACTGCGTTAACAAACGTCTCCCGGAGTGCCGGGATGAGAGCACACAGCGGCTTCTTCCCTGGAGTTGCACTGCATCAGCATGCAGCCGCCTGTGATTCCAGGTACAGCTCCGTGTCCTCACGCTACCTCCGAAATGGCTTGCTTCCCTTTACAAGAATAGTCATTACTGGAAGAGTAGGTTGGTTCTGTTCGGGTTTTTTTTGCTGTTAGCAAGCGTCCAAATGTCCTCAAACCTGTCTACATCTTTCAGGGAAGACAAGCAGAGTCTCTTCGCATTATTCTCTTAATGTTTTTGAAAGAGCATAGACTGAAACATTTGTCAACAGGAGAGGCATCTGGGCTGTATGAAATTCATGATGGTATTAATTAAAAATTATCACTGCTCCATCCCTGATAGGTACCTCATTTCTGTCAGAATAAAGCAGCAACTCATCAGCTCAGAAACTCCTTTTTAAAGAAAGGTACGCAGAGCACTTGCAAAAAATATCACCTCTTGTTTTCTACGTCATCTCCAAATTAAACAATATCACCGCTTACTGCATATAGAAGAAATGAAACGTGAACAGACGGTTAGAAAACCAGACTCTTCACCTGTCACAGTGCTTCGTGCTCTCCCAGAAGCCTGGGGGGAGGAAGCCCGGCAAGCTGAAGTGGCTTGGCCAGAGCTAACAACAGTGGCTGAGCTAGAAATGCGACGCACACCCTGTACCTAACCCCCCACATCTGCACGGTGCTACAAGGATAAGGTTGAATGTTAAGAAAATCTCTGGGAAATTAAAAAAAAAAAGCCTTTTTTTCCCCTTATCTAAACCATTTCTTACACTGTTATTTCAGAAGCGTAGCTCTAAGAGAGTTAAAAGACATACCTGCACCAACATATATCAATATACTTCTAACATTGTTTTCTGCATGAGCCAATTTGTATTGAAAACACCTGACTGAGCGACAAAGGAACACTTTTAATCACAGATTTTCAATTTTGGCAC